TATCCTGCTGGATGGTGAAGCAGGAAATAAGTGGGTAAAGACGCATGTGAGAAAGGCAGGGGCAACACTGACACTAAAGTTAACTCCGCAATAAGTGCTAGTTAGTAGTATGGGTTAATGCATTTCTAGTGCATTTTTTATAGGAAATTATTTTTATTATAATTTCATTATAGCCAGTGGGATGAAGTTTGACAAAGTGATAAACACTGCAGAAAAGATACATGTGAAGAGGACAAATAGAAATAAGTAGAGGTTTCTCATTGAATTTATAAAGAAGAAATTTTCACATTTACATACTTAATTATAAGTCAAATACTAAGATCCATTTATAGTAAAGTTCAGAATTTTTGAGCTGAGAATGACCTTAAGGAATCACCTTTTGCAGCTGTGTTCATTTTATAGTTGGAGAGAATCAAAACTCAGAGACATTAATTTATTTGCCCAAATGCTTACAGCAAAATTAGTGGTAGGCCTTGAAGTAGAATCTAGATTCTGGCATTTTGTGTTCTGCTTTGTTATATTTTAGTTCTCCAATCTTTTGAGCTTCCAAGTGTGACTAATGGTAAGTCACTTTTAGCCTTCTTTTTTTTTTTTTAAGTGACATGCTTGCTAGCATTTTGGATTCCTTAAACAAATCATTCTTGAAGAACCTGAAAGAAAATAAATGTCATTGTGCAAGTGAGGGGTTTGGGGTGTTTTTTGTTGGGTTGTTGTTTTTGGGGTTTTTTTTTTTCATTTCTAAATATATGAAATATCTAAACAAGTAAATATGTAATAAGCCAAATAAGTATGATTAAATAATTAAAAGAAATTAATTATATTATTTCACCAAAGGATTCTTTCTTAAGTGTGAGTAGCTGGTAGTTTTGTGTTCTATCTGGACATACTATGTTTTTAAAAGGAGATAATACTAAAATAGATGACTAAATAATTAAAAGAAATTAATTATATTATTTTACCAAAGGATTCTTTAAGTGTGAGTAGCTGGTAGTTTTGTGGTCTATCTAGACATACTATGTTTTTAAAAGGAGATAATACTAAAATAGATCTCTCTCTAGCATAATTTAGAAGTAAAGCATTTCAGTTAGTATGAAAAGATTTATATGTGCACTAAGCAAGTTTCTCTAGCATGAGGCACGTTCAGTTCCCCTAGGCTATTTCTACTTCCCTTTATATACTTGGGGCGTTTTTTTGGTGGGGGTTTTTGTGTGTTTTTTCTTTTTCTTTTTTTTTTTTTTTGTTAATTTTAATGAAAGTTTACAGAGACGGTTTTCATTCATTCATTGTTGCACTTTTCTCCCTGTCCCCCTCCCCCCGCCTCCACCATTCACTCTTCTTTTTGAAAAGTAAAAGAAAGAGAAATACTTTCATTGTTATACAATCCCTCTCTCCAAGTCCTCTCCACTTTGCAGCCTTTGTTCTGGACTCCTGTCATGACAGTAATACCTAATCATATATCACTTTTAAACAGTTCTTTCTGTCATCTGATTCAATGCAGTATACCTTATTTATGCCCTCTCTCTCAATCTTCCCTCAACCCCAGTGTCAATCCCGTTTTACAGCAGTGGCACTATGCAATATTTGTCCTTTTGTGATTGAGATATTTCACTCAGCGTAATGTCCTCCAGGGTCCCCCATTTTGTATAATATTTCATGAGTTCCTTGTTTTTCAATACAGCATAGTATTCCATTGTGTAACTATACCGGATATTCTCTATCCATTCGTTCATGATGTGCGCTTGATTTGTTTCCAACCCTTTGCTATTGTGAACAAAGCCACAATAAACATAGGTGTGCATATATATATGAATTCTGAGTACAGGCCTCTCCTCCATATTTCCTTTCAAGGAGGGAGGTCCATCCCTTTAGGGTTATAACTTTATAATAAATCTATTTTTACTATTTTACCTTAAAAAAGAAAAAGAGAATTCTAAGTATAGGTTACTCTCTCTTAACTAAATTAAAAGTACAAGAATCCTAGAACAAAATTATTGTGTTGCCTCTTCCTGGTTTGGAATTTCAGAAAAGTAAGGTAACTCTAGTTATCACAACCAGATCCATTGTTAAAGGTCCATACCATCATTTTGCCATTTAAAGTTAGACTTTCTCTTTGTAAATCCCTCTTCACATTATCATACAGGTCTCAGAGCTCAAACTGTTTCAAAATCATAACATTTCTAAGTGAGTGAGTGATCTGTATTATGTATCCAGCCATCAAGGGGATCTTGGGATGTTGCTTGTATAAACTGTAACCTAATCTGATGCTGTGTGTTTAGTTACAGCCTTTCATAGACCTATGGCTGACACTCAATCCTCCTGGATTTGGGAATAGAGCTTATCTGATACCTTAAGGGGGGAAAAAAACCTATTCATTTTTCTCTCTTCCCCACTTAAATAACTCAACACATCTGGTAACACTACAGGATCATTGTCCTTCCAGTTCCTATGCAGCTCATATTGCTACAATATTTCTTAAGTATTTGGTTACCTAAAGGGAATGTGGTGTTTTGGTTGGTTTTATTTAAAAAAAAAAAAAACAGACGGTGTAGATCTTACCAACTAGCCCATCTGCAGATTTACGGGGGGGGGGGGGAGGGAAATGTTTTTAATCAGCAAAATTTCCATATCAGCAGCCCCGTGCATGTTGTACAATAGGAATATAAATATAAATTTGGAGGTAAATGCTCATGTGTTAAAATTTTAAAGCAAATCTTTCTCTGAACTAATGCAATTTGTCTCTAGAAAAATGTTTACTAAATCCAGGGAACCTAAAATCTAAATTTTTTTTATCTGAATCCTTTGACATTGTAATGTCTTTAATTATAAAAATGACAGAACTGAAACAAAATCTTTTAATTCAATCAGACCTAAGCTAAATTTTAGGAAGCAAAGGGTAAGAATCAGATATAATAAGGCATAGTATAGGAAATTAAGTAGACAAGATAGATTTGTAAGTAGGAGGTAGGGTTACAGGAGGGAATTCTTGTTTGATATGACTGCATTGAATGTTATAATAAATGCGACTATTTCATCCTCTTAAACTAATATGGTATATGCAAATAATTCTAAATTATACAGTAGTTCCCAAAGTGATCCTTTATTGTTTTTCGCTTGTTTTACATTCTGGAGCAAGTTCAAAGCTTTGGATTTTGCTGTCTTCTTTTTTTTTTTTTTTTTAAGTGTTCTTGTTGTTGCCATCAAGTGGAGCACAACTCATATTGACTTTGTTTTTTTAAGTAGCCTGAGCTGAACCTTGAAGATTAAAGCTAATACAAGTTTGACAAAAATGACTCAATATTGTGACTCTGTGAAAGTTTTCTTTGCATATGTTATGTTTAACCTAGGGGTTCTGCACCAAATATATCCACGGTGCGTTTTAAGTACAGCAGGATTAACACATTTGAAAGATTAACCATTCATTTGATTTTACTACTCTTTCTGTATTAAATATAAAAAATCAGAATTGAAATGGTTCCCAGAATGGAATAATGGAAAAGTATCCACTTGACACAATATAAATTAAGATTTCATTGGTTATCTCAAATTTAAGCTTATATTGAAAATGGTTATTACAGGATTTTTGTATATATTAGTCAGATGCTTTAAGATTTTCTCAATTAAATTATGACTGAAAAAAATTGGATCACAGCTCTGGTATCCAGGTGGGCAATGCAGTTTGCCAAGATCTTTACATATAACCCCATTTTTTTCTTTCAAGCACAAATTCTGCCTTTGCTACTGAGCCTTCTAAGACATTCTGTGGTAAAAATGAGGGTGGATTTTTTTTTTTAATCTCTTCTTTGAATTTTTTTTTCCCTTGCTTTATAGGTTGTGGAACTTTTAGCAAGTGCTCTTATGGATTTGGTACAAGGAGTATACCATGAAAATTCTGTGTCAGCAAAGGTAAGGATTTCACAGTCGTTATAAAATGGTTAAGCTAAAAAGTCTAGTGGCAAAACTAAAATTGACGAATGAAAATGTCATTTTTGTTTTGTATTTAAACTGTACATGGCATTTTTTTTTAAGATTAGTGTTTTGGCTACAAATTTGTGGCCATACGCTTAGTACATAGCAGATTTAGCCAATTAAAACAACTTCTTATCCCCTGGCTGGATTCACCGTCTGTTCAATCTGCAGCAGCCCAGTACACACCGGGACCCTTCTGGTTAGTAGGTAGCACCATCATGAGATAGGCAGGCTGGAGGAGCAGCCCGTGCTAAAGTGGCTGGACCCAGCCTTTCCACAGGGGAAAAAATCTATATATCCCAGAAGTGACCACTATCCATAAAAGATAACAGGGGGCTGGGGAAATGTATCATATGTCCACAATCCAGAATTTACAGTGTTCTTTAACTCTCTATGATGAGAAAGAAAATGGTTACACAGCTCGTTTATTTTGATTAATTTGATACATCTAGAATTAAGAATTTTTGACTCATTTAGCAAGACATCTCAAGAAAGGCTAGGTTTTATTTCTTTAAATGCAGTTATTTCATTTCAGTAGGATATTGGATGTGAAGCAATTGCTTCATTGACTATCACCATCATTTAACTTGGTATATTCTAGTATAAGAGATTCCTCTTGCAGTAGTTCATCATTCTAACTCCTGTAGCTTCCGTATTAGCAAGAATTCATTCACTGCAAATGAGGGGGAAAAAAGTATGCTTGTATTGCAAATCTCAAGTTTCTGACATTTTCATTTGATAAAAGAAAGTAAAATTTTCTTGGAAATGAAGTTTAGGGCATGAGAAAGTTGGCTAAGAAATTTCCATTTTAAAACTGTGTTTCAGGGAGGTCTGGTGGCCTAGTGGCAAAAGCTGCACTCCAATCTCAGAGGCGCACGGTTCAAATCCACCAGATGCTCTGCTGGAGAAGGAGGGTTAATCTCCTCCTGTACCAGCCAGATCCAATTTGATGGTACACACACAAGATACAGTAATTTTTTTTTTAAATGTGTGTTTCTTGGATCTCAGAATGGTTTAGAGAGTGATTATTGAAATAGGAAAAATTACACCCAAACATCTGCAAACATTTGGTTTAGGGAATTGCAGTTCCCAGTAGGCATATTTTATCTCACCTAGAAACATCAAGATATGTGACGACCCAGCAGAATTTGACCATAGTGGACCCTCTTTGCCAGTTTGTTTTAAAGTCATGCCATGGTTTACTACCATGTTGTTGCTATTAGGTTCTGTCAAGTAGAGTATGGCTCAGAGCAAACCTATGAACAACTGATCTGAACCCTGTCCTATCCTGTGCTCTCTTCATCATTCTGACACACTTGAGCCCATTGCTGCAGTCACTGTAAGTTCGTCTGGTTAAGGGTCTTACTCTCCTTCCTCGACTCTCTACCCTTCCCAACATCATGTCCTTCTTCAAGGAATAGCCCCTCTTAACAACATGCCCAAAGTATGTGAGTTGAAGTATCATCATTCTTATCCCCAAAGAGCACACTGGCTGTATCCTATCCCAGACCTATCTGTTCATTCTCCTGGCCATCCATGAGATGTTCAGTGCTCCTCTCCAGCACCACAGCTCAGAGGTGTCAGTTCTTTTTCTGTCATCCTTATTCATTAACCAGCTCTCAGATGCGTAGCAAGTAATCAGAAAGGCCATGGCCTGAATCAGATGCACCTTAGTCCTGAAACTGATATCATTACTTCTCCATAATTTGGAAGGTCCCTAATTGCAGATTTTCCCAGTGCAGTGCATCTCCTCATTTCCTGACTGCTCATACCAAGGATGTCAGTTGTGGATCCAAACAAGATGAAGCTGCTGACAGATAGATAGTAGGTAATTGGAAAGACCATTCAGGTGCACCTTAGTCTTTAAGCTGATATCATTGCTTCCCAGTACTTTGGAGAAGTCTCTGACAGCAGACTTTCCCAGTGCAATACATCTTTAAA